TGTGGTAAGGTGATAGGGAACAGCCAGCATGGATTTGTAAAGAACAAATCATGTCAAACCAATCTGATAGCTTTCTTTGATAGGATAACGAGTCTTGAGGATAAGGGAGAAGCGGTGGATGTGATATACTTAGACTTTAGTGAGGCATTTGATATGGTCTCGCATGATATTCTTATCGATAAACTAGGCAAATACAATTTAGATGGGGCTACTATAAGATGGGTGCATAACTGGCTGGATAACCGTACTCAGAGAGTTGTTATTAATGGTTCCCAATCCTGCTGGAAAGGCATAACAAGTGGGGTTCCACAGGGGTCTGTTTTGGGACTGCCTCTGTTCAATATCTTCATTAACGACTTAGATATTGGCATAGAAAGTACACTTATTAAGTTTGCGGGTGATACCAAACTGGGAGGGATTGCAACAGGGTCATAATTCAAAATGATCTGGACAAATTGGAGAAATGGTCTGAGTTAAGCAGGATGAAGTTTAACAAAGACAAATGCAAAGTGCTCTACTTAAGAAGAAAAAATCAGTTTCACACATACAGAATGGGAAGAGACTGTCTAGGAAGGAGTACGGCAGAAAGGGATCTAGGGGTTATAGTGGACCACAAGCTAAATATGAGTCAACAGTGTGATGCTGTTGCAAAAAAAGCTAACATGATTCTGGGATGTATTAACAGGTGTGTTGTGAGCAAGACACGAGAAGTCATTCTTCCGCTCTATTCTGCTCTGGTTAGGCCTCAGCTGGAGTATTGTGTCCAGTTCTGGGCACCGCATTTCAAGAAAGATGTGGAGAAATTGGAAAGGGTCCAGAGAAGAGCAACAAGAATGATTAAAGGTCTGGAGAACATGACCTAAGAAGGAAGGCTGAAAGAATTGGGTTTGTTTAGTTTGGAAAAGAGAAGACTGAGAGGGAACATGATAGCAGTTTTCAGGTATCTAAAAGGGTGTCATAAGAAGGAGGGAGAAAACTTGTTCACCTTAGCCTCTCAGGATAGAACAAGAAGCAAAGGGTTTAAACTGCAGCAAGGGAGGTCTAGGTTTGACATTAGGAAAAAGTTCCTAACTGTCAGGGTGGTTAAACACTGGAATAAATTGCCTAGGGAGGTTGTGGAATCTCCATCTCTGAAGATATTTAAGAGTAGGTTAGATAAATGTCTATCAGGGATGGTCTAGACAGTATTTGGTCCTGCCATGTGGGCAGGGGACTGGACTCGATGACCTCCAGTTCTAGAATCTATGAATCTATGAAAAACCATACTCACTGTGATTCTTTTTTAGAGTGAGTTGCTGAATGTTGAAGGAAGAAAGAGAGTTCCTAGCAGTCATTAGGTATGTGAATTTACTTGCTAGAAACATAAAACTAAAATCCACACAGTCCCCTATCTAGTTCAGAGACAAGGGATAGAAATTGTGTTAGTTGTTTGTTAAATGCTGTAATATGAGTCTCTGCAGAGCACACAGGAAGCAGGTGAATGATGCTGTATGAGAGTCTTATGTATTCAGACTAAAGATTTGATGAAATGCTCCTATTATGATTCTGAAATCCATGAAGCAGGGAAGGTGGTTACCTGATCCTCCGCTCTGTCTGAACCTCATTGTTGCAGCTTTTCATATCTCAATATTCAGCCTTCCTGTACAGGTAACTTAAGGGGAAAGAGCAATGGGACAAGAATCAGGATTCAGAAACAGAAATGGGCAATAAACAAACCATTTTCACTCCAGAGCAGCTGGATGCATATCAGGTAAGAACAAACAAAAGACAAATTAGACACAATGCAGGATAATGGCAGGTTGTTTTAAAGCAATCTCCAGCACTTAGTTATATGGCACTAAACAGGACTATCAAATGGTGTCCGAAGTCTTTAGAGTAAATGGTTTATGGCTGTTTAATACCCCTTTACCTTTTTTTATGTGAGAAGAAACTGTCAAACATTACTCTATAATTGTAAACAGAAAGTTTATAAAGCTTGGGCCAACTTCATCATTAATGTAAATCCAGTGAAGTCAGTATGTTTACAACAGAAAAGAGTTTGGGCCAGCGTGTGTTTAAAAAAAAAAAAATTCACCACCACATTTTATATCTTTCCATATTTTACAGGACTGCACATTCTTTACAAGGAAAGAAATTCTGAGGTGCGTCTATATTTTTTGTCTGTAAAACTATAAGGAGATTATAATAAAGTCAGGCCATTCATCTAGTGATTTTAGTAATCTTTTTAATATGTTTTAAGTAGGATTTAATATGGCGTCATTGTCATAGATAACCGCAAAGTGTATAAACACATGCAGAAAAATCATGTTCAATGTCTTTAGTTAAGACAAAAATCTATAATTCAATTAACATGCCAGCCACTTCCACCCAAAACACTATAACAAGTTACATCTAAGTATTTCACTAAATACTCTGCCAGAGGGCCCCATGTCCCACTATCTTGTTTTATAACAAGTGATACACAGAATATTGCTACCCTTGGCATATGCCATCTACTTGATTAAATATTTTCCCAGTAGTTCTATTGTCTTTATAGTGTAACCTAAGACATATTTAGTGCCATGCAGATTTAGTTTTTTTAATGGTAACTATAATTTCTTAGATTTATAAAAATGTAATTAGAGCCTCTGTTTCATCTCTTTACAAACGCAGGATTGTTCTAGCTTTGAAATCATTCTGCTTTGACCCTGTAATATGCTCTTTTCCATGATTTTTGTTGGCTCATTTTGTCTATTAAAACAGAGCAAAAGCTAAAGTGAAAGCTTTTAATTTTGTCCTGACAATATAGTGCTGTCTCCAGAGCATCTATTGTTTTCTGTCACTTTTTACAGCTGCATTTATGATATTTTCCTGAGACTTTTTTGCAAGCCCCAAGTCCCATGAAACAAGATTAGGGATTAAATTATTTCACAAAAATGATTCCACAGTAATCATGCCAGCATCAAAGTAGCCTAAAAGCTTTTGCTGAGACAACATGATGTCACCCACTGGAACTTTATATGTGAAAAGCTGTGGTGATATTTTGAAGCCTGGTGCCTCGTTGGAGCACAAGGCCTGGGTTAACCTGAATCGCTCATTTCCAGAAATTTTAGGACCTCTTCCCAGTAAGTGGTACATGAATTGGCCAATTAATTTGATCTTTAGTCACCTGGGCACAAGGGGGTGAGGAGGAAGGGCTTAGTGATTTTTGTAATACATTATATGCCTCATTGGCTGAGAGATCAAAAGTCTAATTGGCAACCTGAACCTGGTCTCCTCTCCTAGTGGTACCACAGTGTACTTTTGCAGGTGCTGGCACACAATAGTAGTGTATTCTGCTGATGTGGTGGATAACCGTTTGCATTGGAAAATCAGCTTTTGGTTCTCATTTACCATGCAGCAAATTAATCAGCAGAAACACTTCCAGCACCTGCCCCTTTCTTAGGTTGTCACTGCACAACATCAGTGTGCCAATTCCTTTGGAAAGTAGAGTGCCCTTCTACAGCAGACTGTGATCTCCTATTGCTGCCCACCCTAGTCGCTGTTTATGAGTGCTGTGCAGCACAAAATGCAAATTAAGTGAACATCTGTAATAAATTAAACCTAAGCTGTTTGTGTCTTTGTGTATTGAATAGAGGCCAAGCCCATAATTATATCATGAATAAGGCATTTATTATTGATAGGAAACCCTTTAGAAAATTCTGTCCCATTGTTTGATACCATTTTAATTGGTGACAACTGTGAATGGTCTCCTCAGTCTAGTGCAAGAATAGAAGTAAGCAGCACTGAGAAAAATGAACACTTTTTGAGGTCATTTTATAGATCTTCTCCCTTTTTTAGCTCTGAGTCCTAACAAAATCAGTGGGAGGTTTGGGTGGGCAACAAAAGGCAGGATGAAGTCCCACATTTGACGGGTACAACAAGCCCATTTTTTTAAACCTTAAAGCTGAGAAAAAAGCAAGGGAAATTTTAGTAGGTATCTAAGGAAGCCTAAGAGATTAGGGTAGAGGACACTCCTACCACTGGGTAGTCTAGGTGGTCCTGGAGGTGTTCTCTATTCCTAGCACCTTTGGGTTTGCTTGTTTGTTTTTGCAGGGGGAAAAGGCCTGCTCATTTCAAAGGCAAGGTAGGCATAAAATATTTCCATTATTGCACCCCATTCTTAATTCTCCTGAGATCTTTTGAAGATCACTTATTTGCATCACAGTGGTCCCTTCTGACCTTAAAAATCTATGAGTCATTATTACATCCAAAATGTTTAAAGTTGTGTGCCTTCATTTAGGCACCTAAATCCATATTTAAAACCACAATAAGAGGCCTTGACTTCAATGGGAGCTGGAATGAAATATTACAGAGAAGATTGTCTGTAGAATTAGTTTATAAAATGCGGTGCAGTACTTTACAGCTCTTTTCTAACCCAGCAGCTCTTCCCTCTCTCCTCTGCATCACCTTGTTCACTAGGAGGGGATCACTAAAAAGAGCTTCACTCAGAATTCATGGTCGCACAGAGCCATGAGCAGCATTTGCCCACATATATCCCAGTATGGATTATGCATGTGGATATGAGGCAGCTCTTTTGGCCATAAACTGGGGATACACTTGCCAAGTAAGGCAGCCTTCAAGCAGGGGTACTAATGCCTGGGTGGCTAACTGGGAAGCAGAGGTACATGGAAAAGGCTACTGGTGACTAATATCTTGAGAAGGACTTAAAAGACAAAAAGTGTGTGTGTGTGGTGGGGAGGGTTGTTTTGTTATTTTTTCCTTTGTTTTTAGTAAAAAGAAGTTGGCCATCTCTTGCCTTTATTAACTTCCTCTATCCAGGGAACAAGGACCTGCGGAGAACAAGGACTGTTCAAGAAACTAAAACACAGATTGAGGTGCCACTGCAGGCACAGGGGGAAAAACTGTGCAGAACACCTACAAGCTTCCCTTTCCCTTAGAATCCATCTGAGAAAAGCAGAGTGAAAGCAGACTAGAGCCCAGAGATCTGACCCAGTTTTGTTCCTAGGTTTAGTCAGATAGAGTTGAACTGAGACAGGGTTTGGCTTAATTTGCCCTTCTATGACTCATGAAAATAGAAATCTTTTCAATCTGACAAGGCACTGAGCCTGTTATATTGCTGCAATGGGGGGCAAACCCCATTTCAAGCACAGGGACTTGACCAGGGGAATTGTATAGGGATGGGGCTGGAGGAATCCTTTCCTAGAGGCTTCAGAGCAGCAGGAGAGCCATTCTGCAGCTGTTACAGAGCCATCTAAAGATTGCAGTACTGTAGTTTCTATCCTAGTTAGATTCTCTCTCCAGGAAGGACAGTGCAGTAGCAGAGCCACCTCCTGCTCCCCCAGCTGGCACCCCACCAGAAGGAGGCTCCTAGTCTGAAGGGGCTGTGTATCCTCTGAGGGGATTCCAGCCTCCTGGCCTGCCTTCCCCAGTCAGCTGAACTGCATCTGGTGCACTGGAGGTCACACCAACTCTATAGGGTAGGAAGATCAGGATTTGCTGTATGTGAATGGCCATTCGATCATTTACTAAGGCTGGCAGATGAATTAGTTTAATAAGAGACACAAAGAGACCATGTTCCTAGTTTGCTGAGCTAAGTGTCCTCTTACCACATTGCATGGGACCTCCTGAAGAAACAGCTGAAATTTCAATGTGTTGCAAATATGTTTGCAAATCAGTGTCTGGAATCCTAAACTGCTGGCAGGGCAGTTAGCTGCAACATCTGACAATTTTCAGTTCTTAGACGAGCAATGTGATTCCTGCCATTCTGGCCAATTTCTTTATCAGCCTCTAAAACATTCATGAGCCAGCTGCATGACAGGTGGCAGCCAACTTAGACTGTAAACTGTTTGGGGCAGAGTGTCTTTTTGTGCTGTTTGTACAGCACCTATCACAATTGTATCCTGGTCCATGACTGAGGCTCCTAGCTGCCATGGTAATACAAATAATAAATAATCAGGGAAGAGGCAAGGGGGTGGAGACAAAAGAGAGAACCTAGAGAAAAGGACTAGCAGGCTAGAAAGATTAGAGGTTGGGGATTAAAATAGGCAGGCCATGGAAGGTGCATGAGAGTGTGAGGGAGCACGCTCTGGTCTCTCAAGATGAAAGTCTACACTGAGTGTCAGCAAAGCGCTAAGGTGCCTGTGGTGGATATTGGGGGGTGGGGGGATGAGGGGTGGACAATTGTAGGCTGCTGGCTTAGTAGTAATAATCCAGATAATTAGAAATACTGTTTTATGTTATTTTATTTTCTCCAGTGTGGAATTTTAGCTGGATTAGTTTTAGAGCATTGAGAACTTTGAAGGCTGTTCCTCTCAGTAACACAATCATGTAAAAAATGGCTGCTGATAGAGCAATGTCAGACTAGCAGAAGTGAGGTGGAAGCATAACTGAGGCACTAGTAAATTACTAAATAACATTAGAAAACTGCTTCTGTCGTTCTGTTTCCCATAGTACAACTGCCTAGTTCTTGAGCAGACCTTTTCACCCCCTTCTTTTTTATGTAACACTGAAAATAACTTTTCTGGTTAATATATAATATAGGAAGTATATTTCACACTATGTTTCTCCCTTCATCAAGCATACTACGTGACATTTAAATGTAACCACCCTGCTAAATGATGTGAAGTATAAAGAGCAATATTGAAAAGACAGACATTGTTATTAGAGCCATGAGTATACTGAGCCCTAAATGAGCCTTTCCTTCCCTTTCCAGACTGTTTTACAGATACCGAGACCTGGCCCCACAGCTGGTCCCACTCAGCTACATAGATAAACCAGATGTGAAGCTTCCCTATGAACTCATTGGCAGCATGGCAGAGCTGAAGGTACAGTCCAAGGAACACAGATGCTAAATGGGGAGCCACATTTCACTTTCCTCCTCTTCGGCTAAATAATTCATCCTGTACTAATTACCAGGAGGCTGAAAGATATCTGAATCCTGGCTCCCTAGCAAATAGCTCTCTAATTCCAACATCCTTCTGGAAGCTTCCAGTAGTTTTCTTTGAAAACATTTTGAAGCACCATGTAGAGTAGAGAAGGCTGAAGCTGGTCTCTGAGTCAGCCTCAGTACCTAAAAGAGTAGCAGAGCAAGGGGGTGTTTGTCTGCCACACCTGGGTTAAAATAAAGAGGGGGCAAAACTAGAGCTGGGCTACTACTGAGTCCGTCAAATGCCTTGACACAAATGATAGTAAAGACTGACCCGTCTTATCCTGCATCCCTGTTCCACAGGACAATCCATTCCGTCAACGGATAGCAGAAGTTTTCTCAGAGGATGGAGAGGGCAACATGACTTTAGATGACTTTTTGGACATGTTTTCAGTCCTGAGTGAAATGGCTCCCAGAGACCTCAAAGCTTATTATGCCTTTAAAATTTATGGTGAGTGAAACAGGCATAGATAGTAAAGTTTGGAGGTAATCCTGGTGCTGTATTTGACTCAAGGTTCCTTGATGCAAGAGCACTTAAGATATGCACTGCAAACTGCCATCTCAGTTGGGTCTGTGTATGTACTTTGGGACTTAGATGGCCCTCATCATCACAGCCAAGGGGGTCATCTCTCTTAGGGCATGTCTACATGTACAACTCTGTGAAGAGTGAAAACTTCAGTGAAGATGCTACCCGCACCAATGGGTGAGCATCTCATGTTGGTGTAAGTACTCTACCTCCCCAAGAGGCGGTAGCTATGTCAGCAGGAGAAGCCTTCCCATCGATGCAATGCTGTCTACAGCAGGGGGGTGAGTGGATGTTGGTACAACTATGTTGTGCAGGGATGTGGATTTTCCATATGGCTGAGTGACATAGTTATACTGACGTACGTTCCTAGTGTAGACCAAGCCTCAAACTTCTGTTGAGCTGCCCTCAGTTATTGATAAACTTAACATTAACAACTCACCGGGACCAGATGGCATTCACCCAAGAGTTCTGAAAGAACTCAAATGTGAAATTGCAGAACTATTAACTAGGGTTTGTAACCTGTCCTTTAAATTGGCTTCTGTACCCAACAACTGGAAGATAGCTAATGTAACGCCAATATTTTAAAAGGGCTCTAGAGGTGATCCCGGCAATTACAGACCGGTAAGTCTAACGTCAGTACCGGGCAAACTAGTCGAAACACATAGAAGAACATAAATTGTTGGGCAAAAGTCAACATGGTTTCTGTAAAGGGAAATCGTTTCTTACTAATCTATTAGAGTTCTTTGAAGGGGTCAACAAACATGTGGATAAGGGGGATCCAGTGGACATAGTGTACTTAGATTTCCAGAAAGCCTTTGACAAGGTCCCTCACTAAAGGCTCTTATGTAAATTAAGTTGTCATGGGATAAAAGAGAATCCTTTCATGGATTGAGAACTGGTTAAAAGACAGGGAACAAAAGGTAGGAATTAATGGTAAATTCTCAGAATGGAGAGGGGTAACTAGTGGTGTTCCCCCTAGGGTCAGTCCTAGGACCAATCCTATTCAACTTATTCATAATGATCTGGAGAAAGGGGTAAAAAGTGAGGTGGCAAAGTTTGCAGATGATACTAAACTGCTCAAGATTCATAGATTCTAGGACTGGAAGGGACCTCGAGAGGTTAAGATAGTTAAGACCAAAGCAGACTGTGAAGAACTTCAAAATGCACATTGGAAAAAATAACCCCAACTATACATACAATATGATGGGGGCTAATTTAGCTACAACAAATCAGGAAAAAGATCTTGGAGTCATCGTGGATAGTTCTCTGAAGATGTCCACGCAGTCTGCAGAGGCGGTCAAAAAAGCAAACAGGATGTTAGGAATCATTAAAGAGGATAGAGAATAAGACGGAGAATATATTATTGCACTTATATAAATCGATGGTACGCCCACATCTTGAATACTGCGTACAGATGTGGTCTCCTCATCTCAAAAAAGATATACTGGCACTAGAAAAGGTTCAGAGAAGGGCAACTAAAATGATTAGGGGTTTGGAACGGGTCCCATATGAGGAGAGATTAAAGAGACTAGGACTTTTCACCTTGGAAAAGAGGAGACTAAGGGGGGATATGATAGAGGTATATAAAATCATGAGTGATGTGGAGAAAGTAGATAAGGAAAAGTTATTTACTTATTCCAATAATACAAGAACTAGGGGTCACCAAATGAAATTAATAGGCAGCAGGTTTAAAACAAACAAAAGTTCTTCTTCACACAGCGCACAGTCAACTTGTGGAACTCCTTACCTGAGGAGGTTGTGAAGGCTAGGACTATAACAGGGTTTAAAAGAGAACTGGATAAATTCATGGAGGTTAAGTCCATTAATGGCTATTAGCTAGGATGGGTAAGGAATGGTGTCCCTAGACTCTGTTTGTCAGAGGGTGGAGATGGATGGCAGGAGAGAGATCACTTGATCATTACTTGTTGGGTTCACTCTCCCTGGGGCACCTGGCATTGGCCACTGTCAGTAGACAGGATACTGGGCTAGATGGACCTTTGGTCTGATCCAGTACGGCCATTCTTATATTCTTATTGGAGGGTTCATAACAGAACCTAAAGAATTTGCTGAGGCCTGAAACTTTGAGAACTGACCATGGTGGTAATGCACAACCTCCATTTCAAGAAGTTTAATTAATGGAGATATCCCATCTCCTAGAACTGGAAGGGACCTTGAAAGGTCATCGAGTCCAGCCCCCTGCCTTCACTAGCAGGACCAAGTACTGATTTTGCCCCAGATCCCCAAGTGGCCCCCTCAAGGATTGAACTCACAACCCTGGGTTTAGCAGGCCAATGCTCAAATCACTGAGATATCCCTCCCCCCCAGTTTGTTTGAATACACTTTGTACTTATCCCATATAGGCCCTTTTGGAAACCTATACTAGTGTAGTTAAAATGTATTCCCTCCCCCCAACCCCTCGTCTCTCCAGAGACACAGTTATAGCAATATAAAAGTGCTTATAGCAGCATAACTTGTTCCCGTAAAAGAAGGGGAACAGCCATAATGGTATAAGTCAGCTTTATACCAGTATAAGTCTGTCCAGATTAGTTGCTTGTGTATACTACCTCAAAGTTTGGACTACAGGCGTGTGAACAGCAATATGCATCAAAGTTCTGTGCTGTAATTCCCCTGTGTGGCTGCTGCAGGCATGAACTAAAATGTTCCTAGTTCACGTTAACATAATCCTCTTCAAACAGGGCTACTAGGAAACTTATTGTTTGCACCCACAATGTCCACACAGGGGAGTTACAGTGCAGGACTTTGTTGTGCACATCCCCATGGGCTGAACTGCGGGACAACGTACACATAACCTAAGGCTTTTACTATTTAACGGTATAAGAGTGTCTGGAAACAAAAGACACACCCCTAATTGAAAGAGTTATACTGGTAAACTGTAGCCCAAGCCTGAGAAGGACATGTAGGTTCTATAAATTCTTCAATCAGCAGCACCACGCCTTAGCAGTTACAAGGTTTTCTTTTCTCTATGGACTGTGTGACATTACCTAGTAATCATGAGTGATCACCAGTAATCGTTCGTGACGAATAATCATGACCAAAATCAAGATTGATTTAAAAACAGAGGAAATGGAATTAAAAGAACCAGTTTGCTTAACATATCAAGATTTACACTTCTCATAAGCTAAACTAGATATGACCTTTTTAGCTTAGTTACATAACCTACATATTATGAAAACAATTCTGTCCTTTGACTACTCGGGTCAATCTGACATCAGTACTTGCTATCCAGTACCAACTACTTTGCTATGTCCAGGACTTCTGGGTCCCTGACTGGCTTAATTGGCATGTTCAGATATGCACTTCCTGGCCATCCATGCATCTCGTATGGTAGATTACTTTAACCCATCCATGTAAGATTTCAATAACATTTAACAGTGGTGTCTTTGACCAGAAATCCCATTGAGGGGGTGGGGAGCTATGGAGGAGAGTGGAAGACATGACTCGTTTCCTACTTACCTCTGGGAGTTCCCATCCACCAGGAATGTCTCCAATGCTGGTATGTCAAAACCCCCAGGGATTTCTCTCTTTAGATTAAATATGATGATCAACTTTTGATCTGTTCCATGGTTCCTTTCTATAGTAGCTGGCTCCCATTCTCCTGCTGCATATACTGAGTTTCCATCTCTGCTGGATGCAGATAGCTAGGTTGTCACTTTTAAATTTTTCTTACCATAAAACAAGTTGGCAGGTCCTACATCCTCTGGCACATACACATTTTTAATTAGTTTTGTCTTGCCATTTAATCCTTTCTTGTTAGATTCTCCTGGTATTTCTCCTTCCCCTTTTAAAATTTTCTTTAATTAAGCACTTGAGTGGCTCTGATCTGGTTTTACTGGGATTGGAGGGTGCAACTGATCAGAGTCTGACATCTGCTGGAGAATTCCTGGTGCTTCATCCAAAGCAGTTATTTCATCTCCAATCCTCATGATTAGAGGAAGCAGCATTTAAGAAAAAACTATTAGGCTGATTGGAAAAGTTCTGCCTGCCCCAGTTCCAATGGGGTCCTTTGAAAAGCCTTGCCTTATATCAGAGTTTCTCATAGGGCAATTTTAAGAACAGGAGTAGTTTAGTCTTTCTTGTAATATTGTTTTCAGTTGAATTTTCTTTCAATTTCAACAAAAGCCGAACAATCTATTACGCAATACAAACAGAACAGCAAGTTCAGTTTTTGCACTCTTAAGTGGAAGTGACTCAGCATGGGGGCGGGAAGGAAATCAGACAGTTCCTTTAACTGTGCTTTATTATTCATTTAGTTCATTAATATTAGTTTGCTATTCTGATTATGTGGGGATTTTGTTAGTGGGTGAAGCTCAGGGACGGATTAACTTTTTGTGGGCCCAGCCCCAGACATATTTCTGGGCCTCCATGGGGCAAGGTACAGGGGGGCAGGATGGTCAGTCTCCAGAGTGAAGGTAGGGCTGGGGGCAATGAGGCACAGTGTGGCGGGAGCAGTCCCGCTCTGCGCAGCCTAGCAGGAGGGCACTGTTTACAAACCTGCGGCTGCCAAATGCACACTGGCCTGCCCAGCCCTGTGCTGCCAGCATGTCCCTTCCCCTTCAGGGCAGGCCCGCACCACACCGGCCCCCTGCCCAATGCCCCACTCTTATGCCCAGCGCCCCCTTGCTCAGAGACCTCCACCACAGATCTCTATGCCCAGCCCCCACCCCTCCCAGAGACCTCCCCCGCTGGCCTCTCACCACAACTGCACAGCACCCTGCACACCACACCGCTCACCCAGCGTCCCCTACCCATAGACCTCCCCACTGCCCACCACCTTCCTCACAGTCCCACCATCACAGCACCCCATATTCCTGCGGGGATTCTGCACCAAAAAATTAAAAAATCTGTGCATAATATTTTAAAATTCTGCAAATTTTATGTCAAATAAATGTGGAGGCTCCAACATGGCAGTGGGGAGCACAGGCCACTGGTTGCGTGGAGGTGGCAGATTACCCTGCAGCCTCCCCCCCATCCCCCCAGGGACTCAGCAGTGAGGCTGCAACCGACCCTGACACAGTGCAAGGGCCAGGCCTGCCCCAGAAACACCCTGGGGCCCTGCCCCTGTGTCAGGCGCACCAGGTGTGGGGTGAGCAGGCTCAGCCCAGAAGCAGGATCCAAGTCCAGAGGGACTTGGTGTGGGGGGATCCAGGTGGAGGTAAGAGAGTTCTCTGTGGGGCAGTCTGGGTGCAGATGGCTTAGTGGGAGATCTGGATGCACAGAAGCTCATTGTGGAGTTCCAGGTGCAGGAGCAATGGGATTCTGCAGGGGTCCAGGTGAAGGTGTTCGGGGCTCAGCGGGGATGGGAGTGTCTAGGTGCAGGGGAGGTGGGGCTCATTTGGGTGGGGGTCCAGGTACAGGTGGTTGGGGGCTCAATGGGGAGGGTGTCTGGGGGGGGCTCATCGGGATGGTACAGATGTAGGGGAGGTGGGGCTTGTCAGGGTGAGGGTTCGATGGGCCTGCTTAACAGGGGAACCCCAGCTTCTGCCAAAGGGATGCTGCATGCTAGGCCCCTACTTCCCCCATCCCATGCCCCTTCCCCACTGCCCCCATCCCATGCCCCTTCCCCACTGCCCCTTCTTCTCCCCCCCACCCCCTTCCTCCCCACTACCTCATTCCGCCAGCCCCCACTTCCTCTTCTCTTCCCCATCCTATGCCCATTCCCCACCGTTCCATCTCCTCCCCAGGCTTGGGGGGCAGGGAAGAACCACCCCCCAAGCACGAGCTGCCAGAGCGGATCGGGGCCAGGTCGCTCCACTTCCTGCTGCCCGGTGATTGCAGGGTGGGCCCAACCCCGCACTCAGAGAGCGGTGGGAAGTGGAGTGACCCGGCCCCAGCCTGCTACACTCTGAGGCTCGGGGTGCAGGGGGGGATCATCCCCCCAGCATTCACCAGCAGCGTAGTTAGGAGCCAGTGGAGTGGAGCAGGCTGGGGCAGGGGCGCTCCACTTCCCACCGCCCAGTGAGTGCAGGGCGGGCCTGACCCCTGCTGCAATCCCCAGGGACGTGTAGCTCAGGTGAGGGAGCTTGAGGGGGGGCCAGGCCTGGGGCAGAGCAGGGGTGGGAAGAGGCAGGGCAAAGGTGGAGGCAGCTTTCCTGGCTGGCTCAGCCGGCCGGGGTATCAGGCTGGCTGGGGCCCCTTCTGACTCTGGGCCTGGCACCATGGTAAACTCTGTACTGGTGAAGCTATTTAGGATCTATATGATTGAGTATGCAGAGTTTGTGGATGGGTGTCTGTCACAGGGTCACCCCTGCTGGGTGTTTTGGGAATTAGCTCTGTCCCAGCGGGTGCACCCTCGGTTGGTGGTAGCTCCCACCCTTGCCTCTCCCTGCAGGCCTATTACGGCTTCTTTCTCTCACCATCTGCTTCGTGCCACAGTCCTCTGGCTGTATCACCATCTGTTTTTCCCCCCCTTCTTCTCTCCAACAAGAGCCCAGCCACTCCTCACAGTGGCTTGGCAGTCCACAGCCAGGCCGCTCCTTCAGTGGCTGGGTGGGGCGGGAAAGGAGGCTGTAAGTCCTGACCACCCATCAAGAGCCCCCTGTAGCAGACTTACTGGCGCTGGTCTGTAGCTTCCTTTTATATGGGCCGGCTGAGCCCTGACTGGCTGGTCCAGCCACCATCCTAATTATCTACAGAAATCACCCTAATAGGCTGTTTCCCCTGCAGCCACTCCTTTGGCTGCCTGCCCCTCAGCCTCCCTAGGCTGGTTTTAACCCTCTCAGGGCCGGTGCGGGGCAGGTGCCCCATTACAGTGCCTTTTAAGTAATTTTATAAATGCAAATTAAAAATTGCGAGTGTACAATTCTAAAATTCTATTTAGCAGTCTCATTATTCAGAGGTATTGGGATTTGGTAATGAGTCACACACACAGCTTTTCACTGTGGTGCTGGCTGAGAGACATGTAGAGGACAGCTCTTGTAATTTTGAATTTATTAATTCTGTTTCCTTTGACAGATTTTAACAATGATGATTACATATGCAAATCAGACTTGGAGAAAACTGTTAACAAACTGACCCGAAATGAACTTACCCCAGAGGAGGTTTGTCTTGTATGTGATAAGGTGATTGATGAAGCTGATCAAGACAATGATGGCAGACTCTCTGTGGAAGATTTTCAGCACATGATAGTACGAGCTCCTGATTTCCTCAGGTAACAGCAGCCTTGTTATACATAGGGAAATCCTCCTTACTTTCTATCAGAGGCCCTTTACAAGCACATGGTTTACAAGCACTTGCAAATTAAAAACTTCCCTGTCTGACAGTCAGTGCCACTATTCCCAACCTTAACCATTCAAAAAACATGAGTCAACCCCCATCTCCCCAAATTAACAAGGTTAAAAAATGCTTTGGGTTTTTATTTGTCTTTTGTTTATTGAACCGCAGACCATGTTTTACAACTTTTCTCCACACCCAGGAGTGCTAGAAACTTGCTTGAAAATTTTATTTTATATATAAAGAGAGAGAGAGAGAGGAGATTCTCACATAATCTCATGACTCCAGGAGATGGGATTTACAAAATACTGAGAGACTCATGATAGATTTGGAAGAGTTGGCAACACTGCAACAGAAACAGTCTTTTAAAATTAAAGAAATTTTAATTATATCATAAGATTCTTCAAACTTCAGCATTTTAAATTCTTATCCCCAAACCAGAAAATAAAATAAAGTGTGCCCAAGTTAAGGATGACTGGATCTCTGTCACACACTATACTGAATTACCATTCATAAATACTACTATTCAGCATACACTCAATTATACTTTTCTCTCCAGACTCAGTTTCTGATTTCTGTCTTATACTATGAAGTGTTTCAGTTACACAAAAATACCAGGTACCAAAAAATGTGTCTATGAAACAATCATCAACTTGCAACACAGTCCTAGCATTTGGCTTTCAGCTGTTAGTTTATTCAGCCTTAGTGAAGTGTTTTTAGATCTACAGATGAAAAGCCACACAACTGATTTTTTTTTTTTTTGGTTAAATAGTACATTTCACATTCGAATCTGAATCTGGTGAAAGAGAGAGAGAGAGATGAGAACTGCATCTTGAGTCTGCAATATATCATTACCATCTGCTTTCAGAATTACTTTGCTTGGGGTTACTGTTCATATGAAAGAGAGAAATAAAGAGGACCAAATAAGGATTTTCAGACACTGAAGAGCAAGTTGGAAAAGTTTTGTTTTGTCTCGTTTAAATCTTTAGAAGATACAAAGGGAAATCCTGATGAACTGTAATTTAGCAGAAGTGGTTTTTTTGCCAATAAAATATTTAAAAAAAAGTCTTGTTTTGATTTACAGCCTGAGCAGATCTGATCTGTAATGCGGTAATGGAGTATACATGTAGCACAACATGCTGTCATTTTCAGAATAAACTATTTTTTGTAGTTCAGAGAGAGCCAGGCCCTAAAAAGAGCTTACAAAAAATATACAGCTCTACCCTGATATAACGTGGTCCTCCAGAGCCAAAAAATCTTACCGCGCTATAGGTGAGACCGCGTTATAGCGAACTTGCTTTGGCCTCCCTGCTCCTTGTCCCCTGACCACCACAGCCAGTGAGTGCGGGGAGGTTGGGGAAAGGCCCCCCCCCATACTCACCTGCAGCGGGAAGCAGAGCGCTGCAGCCCCAGCCCGCTCCGCTTTCCTTGCCCCAGCCGTGTCGCTGGGAGGGTGTGTGTGTGTGTGTGTGTGTGTTGGGGAAAGGTCCCGCACTCACCAGCAGTGGTGGAAGCGGAGCAGCCGAACCCCAGCCCACAACACTCCACCAGCTCCCAACCGTGGTGCTCCGCTTCCCACCGCAGGTGAGTATGGGGGGGCATCCTTTCCCCAACACATCGGCGAGAGGCGGAGCGCCGCGGCTGGGAGCTGATGCGCCGGAGTGCTGCTTTACCGCGATGTATGAGAACCCGTGTTATATTGGGTCACGTTATATCGGGGTAGAGGTGTATAGCTTTCCAGCAATGTGTTAGGCAAATAGAGTATCCTGCCTGGTACACTACTATCAAGTCTTTATCTGACTACTTCACTTTAAAAGCCATCCTTTAGCTTTTTCTAGTGCTAGGGAAATCCTCCAAGATTAAGTGGAATTGCTCCACAGATGCCGCTAAAGGTTAACGCTTTAAGATGTTACAAAATATATATATATAAATATATATTTGGATACGAATTTGCATCTTTTATTGTATCTAAAGGTAAATTCAATCTTAATCCATGATCCTCCTTTAATATCCTAGTATATTCTTCCTAATCCATTATAGATTGTTCTGTTGTTTTACAGATTGTTTTCCATTAGTTTAGATGTTTTCTCCATTGATAGCTCAATTCAGATTGTTCTATCAATAGTTTGTTTTGTTTGCATGTTGTAAATACAAAAAGCTTTAAACGAGAACTTGAAATTTGATAGATTTAATATCTGTAATTAGACTATCTTACTTACTAGATCTATTTGACTCAGACTTCATTTCTTCTGTAACTGGAGCATAAAGTCCATTCAAACTGCAGCTAGGACGATCAGTTTGTATTGAAGAAGGTTCTTTGTCACTAATGTTGAAGGATCATTTGGGTGCCACTGTCCTGGGTGGGAGTGGGGGAGCTTCCTGATCTGCTGGAAGATTAAGTTGCATTGTTGTTCTATTTCCTGGAATAGTTTGCTGTGCTAGCGTGGACCCTGAAATGCAGCCGCTGGTTTCAGTCAGATTCTCAGGGAGCAAAGCCACTAAGAGATTTGCACAACTCATATAATTATTTAAAATAACTCTGTGAGAAAACAATTCTTCATAATCAGTATTTTAATTACTCTCCTGAAAAGAAAAAAAATAGACAACAGTGAGTAAGGCTATGAACAGGACCCTACGTGACCTGCAGGATGTCAAGGAACCTGAGCCTGGAATCTGCGGTGTTCTAGTGCAGCAGACTGAAAATTTGGTCTTTGCTTCAGATATATGTAAAATTGGATTTTTTTTTTACAGAATTATATGTGAAAATGAATAATTCAATTGGAACAACCTTCTAGTGTTATTTAATTTGGTATTAAATTTCATTAATTTAAAAATGCAAGGACAGGGTAAATTTTTGATGTGCTGCAAAATTTTGTATTGAAAATGCTTAATTGCTTCGCAGAAGTTGTCAGGAGTGAAGCTGGGGGTTTGGGGAGCTGGTTAGGGGACAGTTGGGGAATTATGGAAGGTTGTTTAGGGCTGTGGGATAAGCATGTTTGCTGCTTGTTTCTGTTAAAGTGGCCAATTCAATATTTTTTAAAATTGACAAATTATAATTGTTAGGTTTTGATCAACATTGTTGAGATGAATGGGGCAGTTCACGTCCTCCTTACAGCTACTGATTCAGCCTGTCCGCAGACTCAGGCAGACATCACTGCATTTATTACAATTGCTTCCCATTTTTTTTTAATTAAAAAAAAAAGTGATTCTGGAGCATAATTCCATGGCAAATTCCATTGCTACAGCATCACTGAATACTGGGGACCCTGAATATAAATAATGGCTCAAGTTAACATTAGAAAATGAAAGCAGGGATGCAGCCTGGAATGCTGAGCACCACATATTAGCTCATTTTCTCATTAATAAAACAACTTTAAAAGCCTGTCTGAGGGATCAAGGGAGGGGAATTCCTAGTCCTGCATCTCTTTTCAAACTCTTATTTCTGTATCCAGCCTTTGCTACTGCAGGTCTGCGGTTTCTCAGCACTCAACTGCCCTCCTGTGTGTCACTTAAGTGGAGCAGCGTCCGGAGAGGTTGACTCAGAATAAAGTTATCTAGGATTTTAATAAGCATCAACCACACATTAGTAGCACCACCTGTGTCACCCAGCAAGCGGCACTGTATGATTACTGAAAGCTGCAACAATATCATTTCTTCCTATGTTCATAGACCCAGGAGCAGTTTATATTGTTTCTGCACCATAAGTAAAATACAGTTACAGTACTCGACTCTAGGGCAAAAACAAAAGATGATGCACATTCCTACTTGATTTACCTATCCACATGGTTGGATTAACAGTTAATTGTAAGGTCTGATAGAATTATGTTTACAAAAGTTCACCAAGTCTTCCAATGTCTTATATTTTGTAATCTTTCCTGAAATAATGAACCATCCATTATGTAACTCCTCAGTCAGGAAGCATGGACAGAGCACTAGAAGAAAATGGATAAAGATACTATCATCACTGAATAGAGTTTTTGATTCGGTACATTACAGACCAGGAGAACAGATTTCACTTTATGAAAGAACTTTTCATTGTAATTGTGGTCCCATTTTCCCCATAAAAAGTCCCGATTTTTGCAGCTGAACCCCCTGGCCAGTCTGCACTACATTGGGTTTGTGAAGTTAACTGCCTGTTTTGAGTTCTATACAAGTTGGAAAAAAAATTGTAACAGGCCGTTACTCTACAGTGTCTGTTATGCAAATTAATCTACTTCTTAAACATAAAAAATGTCCTCAAATGATTTTGTTGTGCTGTCAATAGCTCTTAAAGTCATTGTCTTGTCTGTGTAATTTTTAAAAGGTAACCAGCAGAGGAAAAATTGTGCTTGGGCCTTTTACTGTTTTATGGTGATTTGTAAAATATTTAGAGGAACAAATATCTAAGTACCTATTTCCCAGTCTCTAGGGCCATACAACAATTATTGAAAACAGAAGCCATACAAAGCAGGACTGAAGAAGGATGGTCTTGTGGTTAAGGTGCTCGACTGAGACTCATGGGATCTGCTTCCATTCCTGGCTCTACCATAGATTTCCTGGGTTGTCTTGGGCAAATTTCTCCATTCCTGTACCTCACTTCCTCATTTGTAAAATGGGGATAATACTTCCCCAGCTCACTCTAGTGATGTGAGGATAAGTCCATTAATACTTATGAAGTGTTCATACAACAGAGATGACAGAGAGATATGGAAAGTTTTTTTCTGTTAGATTTTTTTACCTCCAGAACATCACATGTTGTCTGTAACGTTTTTAACCAGAGGACTCTTGATAAATTAAACTCCTGTTCCAGTTTTTTTTTCAGCCTCAGTTGAAGGGGTGAGAGTGACTGAAGCTTCAGCTTTTCCCCTCCCCCCCAAGCATATATCAAGTTTGAATTAAATTGGTGTTCAAAACAGTGACTAAAAATCCCTCTCCTACTCAACTGTTATATTTTCATACTCTTGTGCTATTATATTTGCATTGGTTCCTCCCAGTTGCTTATAGACTCTTCCAGCAGAACAGGGAAGAAGAGACCTGATATTTCTAATGTTAACAAAATTTAAAAAAAGGAAAAAAAAGTTGAAATTTAAATAAAACCTTTCAGATCTGCATTATATGTCACAAAGAAAGGAGGGTCCCAAATATATGATTTCCCTTTGCAGGTCACTGTAAACATTTTTCTAAAACAACCAAAATATTTAAATATGAAAAATAGTAGCTGAGTAGACAGTAAGAATTGTATTTTAAAAAAAAACATTTGTTATGCTAAATCAACAGGTTTTTAGGCTCAGACAAAAAAGAATTAGAATCCTATTCTATTCAGGTTCTTATATCACACCCACCACTACGATATCTGAATGCCTGAAAGATAGCCTGTAAATCTGCTCCTGGGCCTCTTCTCCCTCCAGCAGCTAAGGTGCTGGTCTGATAGAAGCAGAAATCATATTTATTAAAACTGACTGTGTAGTCAGAACGACAACAACCTCACAGCTAGTGAGAGAGACACTGGCAACAAGTTGGATGGAGAATATCTGCAAGATGCCATCAGAGACAACAGGTCCTTACAGCTTAAGACATGCTGAAAAGGTTACTGCGAGGCACTGCAAAAGCAATATATGACAAAATATTCCTGGGGATCCAGACTTTCGCTAATCAGTCTCAGCTATCTGGAATTATTTCAATAGAATGTTGGCTTCTTATTTTTATGAGGGACTATGACCAATATGACTTTCACTAACTCATATGAGGAAACATCCCAGAGGTTTATCCTGCAGTAAATCCTCAGCAGCCCTGTAATGAAATATTAAAAGATTGGAACATGTTTCAGCTTGACCATTTTAAATTACTCAGACTGTAAAAGGAGACAGGACTTGCATTAGTTCTTTGTCTGACATGTTTTGAATGCTTATGAAGCATTTCAAGGTTTCATTCACAGAGGTGGTTGAATTAGGAATGAGTTTTGTAAGCACCAAACTTTTGAATTTGGTTCAAATTTGCAGTTTGAGTTTTGACTTCACAATAGTTCTCTAAAGTAATACAAGTTTGTTACATCTGATTCCTTATAAGAGTGAGCTATCACTATATCCTGAGTCAGTGCACATTACTGTCCTGTGACTCTCCAGGTATCTTCTTGGTTTTCACTAGTCAGTTAAATTAGTTATTTCAGTATTGAGTTGAGAACTTTCTGTACAACAAAGGGCAAAGACAGCAGACAGAACTCACATTGCCAGGATTTCATCTGTTTAGCAGCTGTGGATTACCATGGTGTAATATAGATATTGAAATGGATTACCTGATGGACAATGATCATGGGGATGTGTTTAACAGTGCGAGACTTACAGCCATGTTAATACAGGGTCAGACTGTGACCCAGCCTTGCATAGCCGTGCTAGAGAGTAAGTAGTAGTAAGACCTCTCTCTCACAAGTTTTCATACACCTCCTCTTCCCCCAGTTCTCCTGTATGATATTAGTGTTCCCACATCATGGCATGGACCCTGGTGTCTGGTGCTCCCTGCAAGCAAGTGGGCATGGAGAGAGGCAAAAGAGTGAGTAAATACTTGGCTTTGCCCTTCCCAACACATGCACCAGTGCATGAAGGGAAGTAAGTTTGACTACATAAGAGCTGCAATAAGGTGCTGCATCCAAGCTTCTCCAGAATAGTCGGAGTGCACAACCTCTTACACAGGAATTGAGTCTAAAAGCTCAATCTAGTCCATTCTGCCACCAATTCCATGGCTGCTCATGAGCACTGAGGAGACCAGGGAATTAATTTTTCCCCAATACATCTGATCTCTAATATATGGGTATCCCAGGTTTCCTATAGCTCTTCTGGTTTACATTGAGGTACCACTAAATCCCTGAATCAGAAGAACATTTTAGCATATGCTCCGGGGCTGGCAGGCTGCAGCTGCGCCGCCCAGCCCAGCCTGCCGGAGCAGCTCTGGCCAGGCCAGAGACATCCTCTTTTGGCCCGCCCCAGCTAAGGTGGGAAGGGGAGAGTGTGGGGGCCCTAGGCTAGGGGTGGGGTCATGTGGGAGGTGGTCACAGGGGTTACTCCCCTGACCCCTAGCTTCTCCCCCCCCCCCAAAAATTTCCCCACCAGTTTCTGTCATGGACCATCAGGGTAAACCTCTGGCGGGCTGAGACACTTTGTTTACTTAGGTTTACCTCTATGCCTGCAGACGCTCAAGGTAAACAAACCGTCTCGGCCTGCCAGCGGCTTATCCTGATGGCCCGGGAACCAGTTTGCCGACCCCTGAATGATAGGGTCGGCTTATGAATGTGTCATAAAATATTTCCATTTTTACTTATCCATCTTGGGGGGGGGGGTCGGTTTATAAATGAACCATCTTATGATTGAGTATATACGGGATTCCTTTTTAACCTCCCAACATTTAAAACAGACCAAAGCAAGCAATCATTATTACTTTGAATAATTAGTTAAAAATCTTCATGGCAGTCTTGTTCAAACAAACTTGGTCCAATTTTTAAACAACTGAGAAGCAGGTTTCATAATAGGAATGTTGATTATTCTCCTACTATTGTATTGAAATATCATAGTTCGACAATTCTCACTTTCTGGGGATGACTCCGAGGAACCATGAGGGCACATCATGGTGTACAAACCAATCTGCCTGAGTTTCCATAAGCCATCTTAAGGTATAGGATGACTCCAGCACCTGCTTTCTTCCTGGCAGGAAAAAAAATCTTGTTAATCAAAACAGAAAACTCAGATTTTAAGAGCTATTTAAATGTTGCTCTGCTCAGCCTTGCAATACCTAACTGACTTAGGAGCCCAAGTCTCATTTTAAAAAGTGACACAGGCTTCGGGACTTGCACATTGTAACACTGAGCAGAACAGCACCCAAATAATTTTAAAAATCTAGACCTATATTCCTTACCTGGTTCTACAATGGGTCTGTATTAGAGTTGAATAGGTGTCGGTAATTCTGAGATATGCAGCTGCTTGCTGGGGAATTTAAATATATTTTAAAATATTTTCCCCTGTGCACTTCATATGGTAGCAAGAAATAGATGGTGTTGAGAGAGTCTGCTATTTGGTGGAGATAAGTCATTGAATATTAATTAGTAAATATAATTTAAAGTAGGATTAGTATGCTTCTTCTGTGTGTAAAAGACACCCACGTGGGCTTTGTGTAACTGGAGATTAAAAGCAAAAATGTCCATTCATCTTTTGTATGAAAGGTAAAAATTGAGGCACCTGACTGTTCTTGACTATGCTAAAAACAATGTATATGCAGTATATTAGCCAAAATGACTGTATAAGAGCTGCCTACTGAATCCAGATAAAGCATGCTTCTCACCTCAAACCAAGGTTTAAGTATGTGCAGAGGGAAAAAAATTGGTTTACTGCAGGTTTTGCTTCTTTAACCAAGAATGTGAGGAAAGGGGACTCTAATTCTTGGTATATGAATAAAATAAATTACTTTTTATGTGTTGTTAGAATGTCCAAAGTCTCACACGTAAACTTGTAAAAAATTAAGGTTCAGTTCTTCGTTTTATCCAAGAGATGCCCTGGATTTCCTACACAGGTCAGTCGTGGGATGGTAGCAAAGATCATATTCTTTTAACAACATTAGATTTTACAAAAAAATTTTTTGCCTTTGCTCTTCCATTTTCTACCAGATCATGCTGCATTACATACTCCAATACTTATAATTGGAACTAAGAATGGTGTTTGAATGCCTTGGGTGTGTGTACAGATGCAAGGGAGTGGACATTTGTACAATAAGTGTGTGTGGGTGAAAACTAAACTAATCTAACAGTTTTCTAAATTTTGAAACTAAATCTTTCAAAGGATATTTATATGCCCTGTAAAAATAAATACTTGGAAATCCAGTAAGAGGCCCATTAAGATGGTTAGTGCTCAAATATACGACAGAGGTACCAAGTTTTAAGTGTTTCATGTACTTACGCATTGGCAAACAGTTTTGTATTTGTTATTTGACAAATGTTTACTTAAGTTTTACATGAACAGGTTGAGACCCTTTTAAAAATATTAAGATTGGTTTAATTAAACTGATTTGGCAATTACATTTCTCAAGGCCAAGCAAAGAACATACAGATCTGTCCTTAGGTCCTGATCCAAAGCCCACTGAAGACAGGAGTGTTTCACAAAATTATTTAGTTTTAATTTTATTCATGGTTTTAATTGCATCCATCCAACTTTCTTAGCATAACTATAACAAGAATATAAAACCATTTACAACTCTTACTACTTAAATAATTAACTCCTCCTTCCCCCTCGCCCATTAAAAAAAAAAAATACAGCATTAAAATCACACGCCACCACAGTACTGGTTAAACCTTTTCTATCACATCCCCTCCTCAAAAGGGGAAGAGCAGAGCAGAGCAGCTTCATAGAATCTGGTAACAAGAGACCAACAGGGCAGCAAGTTCCAGGGTCAAGGACCTCTCACTAAAAATGGCCAGTTAGCTGCCCCCTTTCTTTTTTTTTTTTTTAATTAATGGAGATATCCTATCTCCTAGAACTGGAAGGGACCTTGAAAGGTCATCAAGTCCAGCCCCCTGCTTTCACTAGCAGAACCAAGTACTGATTTTGCCCCAGATCCCTAAGTGGCCCCCTCAAGGATTGAACTCACAACCCTGAAGTAGGGAAACATCAACTTGAATGTTTCAGTAATTCTTAAGTGCCAAGGCACCACAAAGGTGGTCTCTCTCTCTCTCAGATAGTTGTTTGCAGGTGCAAATCATGTAGCAGCCATTGTATTCAGGCACAAATTATTTCTACAAATGAAAAGCCTTAGCTGGGCCCCAACCCCTAAGTGTCAAACAAATACTGATCTCAGAAAAAGATTGTTAAACTGCAGCATTTGAATTTACTATGAGAATTCGCACATCATAGCACATTCATAATGTAAAACATCAAGGTACCTTACCTCAAATGCTGCAGTATTGTTAATCTACACATTCTGCCTCTTTCCAGCCATGTTTTAGCTTTCAGATCAGTGTTGACATGTCTCAGATGGGTAAGGCCTTACATCAGAGTTTCCTTGGTGAAATATTTGTTTAAGAATTCCAGGAAGTAGATTTCTGAATACTAATGGAAGTAAATTTGAATAAAAAGTAATTGTGCTGCTTGTTTTGTATCCCAGTAAACAAACCAGAATACAATAAGGTAATCTCAAAGTTATAAAGTCCAGTAGACAAAAGACATGGTATGTTTTATTATATCAACAAATAAAGACATGAAATGCAAGCTTTGGAGGGGCCAAAGATAGATGGAGTACCTTATTCAGGTGCTGGTCTACATTAACCGAACATCCACCAATTAAATATTAACTCAAGTGACTTTGGGCTGAAGTTATTTCATGGTCAAGGCATTAATGAGGCTGATTATAACTGTTGACAATTGATTGTATAGCCTTTCTGAAAGAGACAATTAAAAGGTCTTTCTAACTAATATGGGAAAGCACACAATGCTTCTCACCTTCAAATGCTCCTGCTGAATCAGAATATTTAATTCAGGACACTGAGCAGCATGAGGACTCATGACATAAAGGAACATGATAATTAATTGAGGTTCAGCGAATCAGACTTTACTATTAGCAGGTTCTATTTTACTTGCAGGTGTTACAAAAGCTCACCATGAGTGCTAGAGAGAGAAGGTGGGTGAGGTATTATCTTTTATTGACTAACTTCTGTTGGAGAGAGAGACAAGCTTTCGAGCCACACACAGCTGTTCTTCAAGTCTGGGAAAGGTACTCCAAGTGTCACAGCTAAATGCAAGGTAGAACCGATTGTTTAGCATAAGTAGTTAGCACAAAAGTGCTTGAATGGTCTCTCGGAATGTGCTGTGTTATGTTAAACAATCTGTTCCACCTGGCATTTATGTGATACTTGAGGTATCTTTCCCAGAGCTCAAGAAGAGCTCTGTGTGGCTTGAAAACTTGTCCTTATCACCAAACCAGAAGTTGGTCCAATAAAAGATAGGACTTCTCCCACCTTGCTTCTCTAATATCCTGGGACTGACACAGCTACAATTACACCATTCACCGTGAGTGCTGACAGTTAAGTACAGCTGACATGGATACACAGCAGACATGTATCTAATTCAGCAGCCAGTGTAGTGGTCCCTCTGTATTAGAGTTAATTGGACATTTCCTCACAGCTTTCCACTAGCACCTTGTACTGCATCAGAAATGTGCAACTAACTTAGGCCATTGGTACAATGCCATATAAGCAGTTAGCATCCCTCTTTAGAAATCAACCTAGTGCATCTGAGAGATTCTAAAGTTTTACTCAAGGTGGCAACCTTGAATCAAGGGCCCCAGCTGCCTTGGTAACATGCTGCTGTCACTGCCCAACTTCCAGATGGCCTGGGAAACTATTTATTGCTCAAAGTTTTTGATCGTCAAAAGATTTGGCTTGTTGTAGTTATGAACTTTTCCATGGTCTTCATTAGAAGGTGATGAACTGCTTTTTGGAAAGTTCTAACATCCCAAGGGTATGTGTGTGGGGTGTGGAAAAAGAAAAAGGTGGAGTTTATGTTATCAGGTTCAGAAGCAAGCTACTAACTGGCTACAGTCAAGAGGTGGGTTAAAAATATCCAAAGAAGATAGGTTTGCTAGAAACAATTTTGACTTATAAACAATTTCAAGTTAAAAAGACAACAGTTGTTACCTTCATGAGCAATGAGGCAGCTGTACAAGAAAGTAGACCATGCACATCACATGAACATACTTCAGAATTTGTCGTCATCTATTATGTACATTGCAGAATACAAGTGCATTTTACTTATATATCCAACATTTGTTAATTTTTGGTTACTAGAATCTGTATTTCACTAGCAGCTGTTATAAATTTTCAATGAAGTGACAATGGAGTATATTATTTTCATTGCATTTCATATGATATGTAAGTTATATCACAGTAAATTTAATTGATTAGGTTGTAAGCTTGCTAAGCTATCATACAGGCACCAATGGGATACTTAATGGTATGTCAAAAAACTGAAGGCACACAACTCCATTGCATAAAGTACAGTATCAACAATTTTGGAAATTAAAAATCATGTATGAGAGCAGCTGCAGCTGTTTGCTAGCAATATGACAGGGGATAAGCATGCTGGCCAGAGGGAAGTAGGAGCTGGAAGGAACTCCACAATAAAATTCAGAACTGGTTTTGTAAAAAGAAAAAGTGCCCTAAGATGGGGATGCTGGAACCATTTTACCTGAGCCATTACTCACAATACACAATAAAACTAACAAGGAGTCTAGTGGCACCTTAAAGACTAACAATTTTTTTTTTGGGGGGGGGGGGGGCATAAGCTTTCGTGGGTAAAAAAAACCTCACTTCTTCAGATGCAACTCCCTGATACTTGACAATAAAACTAATGAGTTAAGACTATGAAGTTTGGAAACATCAATATTGGCATTTATTGCATTCCTCTTACCCTAGTTAAATTCATACATGTAGTTAGATAAGGAAGTTGGGGGAAAGCTCTATGTGTGGTTATATAAAATAATCCAATTTATCACTGCTACTTTTTGTATACGCTTATGATGGTCCATCTCCTACACCAATGACCAGTTTCCACACATTACTGCAGCAATTTTCTAAACCTATGCTTTGTACATTACTGGCCCTATGTCTACAATCCTACAGCTTATAGCTGAGACTTATGTTAAGAATTTGTATATCATAAAAATGATTTATTTTGCTACATATACATTTAACACTGAAATCACTTACACTCCAAGATTCACAGGTTCAATCCCCACATCGGTCTGTGAAATAATGTAACTTTTTAATTGTGTGGCAGTTTCAACAAAATTAAGTAATCACCACTTATGGCAGTTTCCCAAATAAATGCAAGAGTGGGTGCTAAAGTAGGGGAACACACAGAATAAAAAAATTGAATTGCAGTGTTGTTGTAGTCTTGTGGGTCCTCAAGATATGAGACAAGGTAGGTGAGATAGTATCTTTTATTAGACCAACATCTGTTGGTGGAAGGTACAAGCTTTCAAGCTACACAGTCCTGAAGAAGTGCTCTGAGTAACTTGAAAAGTTTGTAACCTTCCACCAACAGATGTTGGTCCAATAAAATTGAAAGTAGTCAACTCGATTCTGCAGTAAAATGAACCTCGTTGCTAAGCATCTTTATGCTAGATATTGTTGTCTCAGAAGATCAACACTTGGTGTTTTTTCAACAGACGACTGGAAATTAAGAAAAAAGAGTTGAGACCAAACCAGAACTTACCAAGTTCTTGCCCCTTCTCTCTAATGGAAGAAATACCCTATTTTCTACTTAGGAAGCTATACATGGAAGATGAACAGAACTGGCAGAAACCAAAGAAAAAAAGTTCTGCTCTTTTCATAAGAAATTTATTTACGCAATGTTCAGGGTTCTGTACAACCGAGTAAAAACAAATACCACATAATAAACATAACAGTTTTTAAAAATACAAACATGAAAACCAATGAGTGCATTTTAAGAAAGGCATTGTCACAGAGGGAGCAGCCAACAGTGGTCATCCTAAAAAAACACTGAAAGAAAAATGTTTACAGGTTTTTTAAAAGTTGGTATGAATGAGTTTAGATTTTCCTTAGTGACCAAGTCACACTAAACCCCTGACCGACACTCTATTGGGAGTATATAATTCTTGCAGCAAGGGCTGGAGAGAAACCAGCCTGCCAATCTACCTTATTCACCCACCCACCCTGATCATCTGAAAAAATTAGTCATGGAGAAGTCACCCTGCAGTAATCAGACTGCACACTACCCAACAGCATTCATTTGGATGAGTCTTTGCAATGTCTAGGAATGATCACAAATTTGTGTGTGCCTTGGTCAGTTCTTCCATATCCCCCTATAAACATCCTGTACAAATGAAGATCTTATTCCAAGCAGCTCTTTGCCAGTCTCTTCTTCAGTGTACCACCCAACTGTTTCAAGTCCTAGAGAACACCTTTAAACCATGGTGGCCTCTGGGCACTAGTATCAGCCAGAGAAAGTACGAGGAAAGAACACCCTAACAGCAAACAGAAGTTGTTAGTAACATCCCACTTAAAGGGAGGGACCAAATGTTTCTCAGCAGTAAGGGGACTAAAATAATCCATAGGATTCATAAATCTGAGGCTGAAAGCCTGGTGCTGGCATAAGGCTCTGATGTTGCTAAACATTGAGTGCACTCAGGTGACCACATTTAGTGCACATCCAGGTGACAACATGTTAAAAAGCACCCTTGCTCATTACTGAAAGATAGGGTATTGAAAGTCTGAGACCTCTGTTTGGGTGGGCCAATCTGAAAATATTCCAACCACCGTCAAAGATCAAGTCAACCACAAGATCTTGTGATGGTCATTAAATGTAGACAATAGAGATAAGGTCTTTGAGTTTGTGCTCGAAAAGTAGGTTTGTTTCTGTGCAAGCCAAGCATCAATTGTTAGAGTAACTGCTGGATTTTTAGTTGTTTTTAAGAACACCTAAAGCTTTGCAGCAAGTGCGTTAAATACGTTTGAGTAACTAATGAGTTCTTTGAAGTTTTACAAAACTTGATACACCAAAAATGGAGATTTGCCCTCCATGTATAAACAAAAGCGTGGTACAAATAGTAGCTGTTGAACATATGTGATGAATGAATATGCTATTGTTCTTTTGTTGCTTCTTCTGGCCATGTTGATATAAAACCATCTTTTTTCTAGAATACCAATTTAATTATGAAAGTGCTAGTGAAAGTATCCAGCTACATGCTGAATTTATCCAAGATCTGTGAAAGTGCTACAAGTTGTATGTAGCATTGTCAGTGTTTAGCGGCACTTAGGGAAAGCATGTATCCAACTGTATACATTAATTCACTATATATATTTGCTATGTTAGAATGTCAGCCTTCAGGTTGCTTAAAATTGATTTAACTTTTATGTCAAGTCTATATATCCTAGATGTACAGTGGTGACAGCAAATCACAGTTAACTGCATGAAACTTCCTGAGTTTGAGCAAAAATATAATTGTTAATTAAGTACAATAGAATCATTGTAAAGAAAAATCATGATGCTGTAAGGTAGGTATATAAACAGGTACAACCACCTGCATAAACATGGGACATTCACATACAAAAATGTTAACTTACATTAAAAAGGACTAATGTACAAGCCATTAAGATCTAGAAAAATGAAAAGTGAAGATCACAACTCCATCCTTCAACCTCTGTTTGGAAGTGAATACTCCCCTCCTCCCTCCCAAATCAAGCCTGATAACTCTGTAGCATGGGATGCCATGTAATTGTAGGCCGCATAGCGTACCAGACTGCCCACTATTTTACAGTCACAAATCAAAGGATAACATGGACTGCAACACCCAGCTACCACAGGATATAAGGATGGAGGATGAACATTCCTCATTCGCTGCTTTGAAACAGAAACTAAAAATTTTAACATATTTAAACGTATGTTAGAGACTCTTGTTTGTCAACAGTGTTCCACCATCTCGCCCTTAAGCCACCCCCAACTGCTCATGACTACCTAGAATGTTTTTAAAATGCTTCTTTATCCTACCATCGTAGCATTGCATGTCCATCCTATACCTCTGTATTAGCTGTACGCAAAAATACAAAGGATCTTTTTATTTTGCGTATGTAGCCATGATTAACTGAATTATTTTTACTCTAGAGAAGTCTATCATTCAGCACGCTTGCCAAGTCCTCATACTATACAATCCT